TCTGCTCAGGTCCCTTCCAACCCTAGAAACTATGAAACATCAGGCTCCTTTCACAGACTCTAAGGCCACTATTGAAAGCCTGACCCCTAATTTTCAGATCATGTAATGCATCAAGCTCCAGCTACATCAAGGAATGAACATGGCCTCTGAACCACCGGGACATTTGCATTCCTCTGGGATATGCACATTGCCAAAGGTTATGATAGCTGGGTGCAAAGCTTTCTTTGTTGAGGAATCTCAGGGGACACCAGGTGAATCTTCAAAACATACTGCAAAGCCCCCAAGAGAGTATTTCTACCAAAGAGTCTCTTTCTGCAAAATCTCCATTTTTTTTTTTTTTTTTTTTTTTTTTCCCCCCCTTCCAAAAGGAACAAAACAAAAAACCAACCCCAGGCTGAGGTTTAATCCCATAAAGAGAAAAGTGCCGAGGACTCCATAAAGCTTTTGAGGGGTTTGGCTGCTACTGATTTTGTGGAAGTTGCTGTCATGTCAGGGACAGAGATAAAACTTGTAAGACGCATAAAAAGGCACAGTGAGGAGTGAAGGAGCTAGAAATGGGATGACCAGCAGGTAGATGAGCCAAGGTGAGAGAGAGCCCCACTCTTAAAGCCTTTGCAAAGATGAAGTGCAGTCCTGTGGTTAAAGTGGTGCTGCATTTTGTCCTTACTGAAAGCCAGAGAAGGGTTTCTTGCAATGGATGAGACTGGGGACAGACTGGCTCTGATTGATTTTTACCACAGCTTTTTCAATGACTAGATTAAATGTCTTTGGAAATATGGAACCTTATCCTAACTTGGGGATTAATTTAGAGCCCATGTTAATGCAAACTGACTCCACCCAAGAAACTCAGTGGAGTTACTCAAGCCATGCAGCGCTACCCTGCGTGAACCGGGGTAACCAAACCTGGCCCAAGACAGGGTTGTGTTCTGAACCCTCTCCAACATGGAAAAGTGACTCTTTAACCCTGTATTAAGTGGAGCCCTTTTGTGAAGTGCAGAAAGACAGTAGGTTTTTCTTACGGCAATGCTTTAGCACATCACTCGGGCACCTTCAGGATGCATGCAATGCTTGTGCACCAGGCTCTTAATCCATTGAGCTCCGCTCCTAATTTTATCCCTCACTTGAAACCCTTGCTCTCACATACCCAGAGTGTTTGAGCTGGCTCAGTAACAGAAAGCAATTCCTGTAACCTGGCTAGGGCTCGTGTTTTCAATTTGTTTGCTTGCTTTTGTGCGCTCTTTGGGGATGGGCACTCAGCAGTATGTTTTGAGCTTACATTATGGCTGTTCTCCGCTGCCAACAAAGGCTCCCTTCTGTCTGCAGAGATTCAGAACAAAGTACTGTGGGTCACGCTCTGCTCTCATTAAACCCCAGTGTAAGCCTGGAGTGACTCCTCTGGCTTTTATTTATCCTGGTATAACAGCTCAGACTCTAATGTGCCTTATCTAAGGTAAAATCCCCTGTAACGGTGAGAGGCATTGGTTCAAAGGCAGAATAGGAGCAGTCGGATATGTAGGACTGCAACCCAGCTTTGTTCTGGAAGACTCTTTGGTTTCAAATTTTATGGTCCTCGTGGTACAATTAATGCAAGAACATTAATATGATTATCTTGTTAAGTCTGTAGCTAAGCTATGGACAGTACACTTTTAAAAGGGATGGGGGAGCTGCTGTTTAGGAGTGTGCATCAGGTGCTCTGATATACCCTGAATGCTCCTGTAGCAATAAAAGTTAGCTAAATCACTGTACCTGTAAACCTGAATGAAACCAAATTAAAGTTGCATTGATTTGGTTAACAGTTGTGTTGCTACAAGAGCAGGCAGGCCTAACAGCTGCATGGTAACAGCTTATCTGTACTGATACAATCATAACATCTGTCTGTACCCTCAAAGCAGAAGTATCAAACTCATCTGGCCCTGTAGGTATGGTGAGCAGTGCAGGACCAATCCATGGGCTGGGTGAATGGCATATGGCTGGCCCCGCAGGCTGGATGGGGCCCACAAAACCACTCCTCCATGCTGCATCCAGCGCTCCCAGTGCTTGCTTTAGGACATGCACTAAACACAGCACCTGCCCCAGCCGGTCTGGGTCCGTACCACGTGCAGCACTTGTTCTGGCCAGCGCAGGACCACAGTGGCTTGCCCAGGAGCAGCTGCGAGGGGCCCTGCATGCAGCACATACTCCAAAGCAGCTCAAGAGGGCTCCATGTGCAGCACGCATCCCAAGCCCTGTACATGGGGCTGATCCACGATGCACTGCATGCTGGGTGTGGGTCCATTCGGGGCAGCACCAGGGACTAGATAGTGGGTCTCCATGGGCCCTCTTCTTGACACCCCTGCCTTACATACTCAAACCTGGGACAAAAAGCCAAGGATTAGACAGCACACCCTAAAGCAGCAGCTATGGCTGATGGTCACAACTTGAAATGTGAGCAATCCTCGGCACTGAACTATCCTCAACGGGCCCAGGAGAGGCTGCGTTGGATCTACAAGGGTTTCTTACGGTCAGTTTAACTTGGGTTGTGGTGTCTTTGCTGTGGAGCAACACCTGTTTTCCAGACAGGTTTTAATAGAGTCCTAGAGTTTGGGGCTAAAAGGAAACAATAGATCATTTAGTCACTCCTCATGTTCATCACTACATGTTTCTGTTGTTCTGCCTAATAACATGGGTTGGATTAAAGCATTTTGGTGCTTTTACCTTGTCTAAAAAGCTAGACCTACACTTGCATACTTCACAGTTCCCCCCTTTTCCAAGTTGGCTTAAATAATAGTAAGGGTGGTTCAAAGAGCTCCTCAGCTACTTCCTCTTGGACTGGTGGATGGAAGTTGTCTGGGTCTGTTGACTCGAGCGCTGCTTCACACCACCTTTATTACAAATGGGGAGACGTTCTGTTCCCTCCGCAACATCCCATGGGACAGACAGTTCCTCCAGCTTTGTGCGAAATACAGAAAAGAAGCATCTGTTGCTATGTCCTCTCTGCATCACTATTTACAATGTGACCATCTGCCTCTAACAAAGGATGTGCACCTGACCTGCAGATTTTGTTGTTTATGCTAATGTTTGAAAATGCCCTTCATACTTAACCCTATTGCCCGCTGATAGTGTATTTTAGTAGCTGCCCTATCAGGAACGGACATTTTAAAACTTGTAGCTTATATTCATTAGCCTCAACTTCCCTTTTACCCATTCTTTTTTTGCACTGAGTTTGCATTTGTTCATTTTATTGCCAGTTCCACATCTGCTTTTAGCCAGCATGGCTTTTTGCCCAGCATAACTTTTTTCATGCTTGTGGATTCATGGATTTTTGTGTCCCCTATAGGACATCCTTGAACAATTACCAGTTTTCTTAATACTTCTCACTTGAAATTTCGTGTTCCCAATCAGTTGTGCTGACAACTACTTTGTACTTCAGCAAATTGGCCCTTTTTACATTTCAGATGTACATATCACTCGTTGATGCTATATTCTGTTCTTATAAAGTACGTGTAACTGGATCATAATTGCTGGTACGTAGCCAACCACAAATTTTTATGCTGGCAATAAACTCTTCTTTATCAGGCAGAAGGAAGTAAAATATTCTTAAATGATGTTGATGGCTGGGCCTTCTGTATTAAGAAGCCTATTTTTATAGAAGATTTTGTTACTGACTGTATGGTACATCCATTGTGCATTGTCCCTGCTTACCTGAGCTAGAATTAGCCTGGCACAATGGATATAAAAAGGTCAGTACACCTTTGCCCTGAGCTGTCCAGGTCTCTCTCAAATCTCTAGGGTTGCAGTGAAATATTTGGTGACTACTTCCTTATCCTTCAATGTGTCCCACACTTATCACACAGACTAAGAAAAACAGAATAATTGTGAAGGGAAATGGGAGAGTGGAAATGCCGAGGATGACATTTATACAAAGCTGTCTTGAAATATGGAACAATTGTGCTGTGTTTTATGTCGGGCTGTAAAACTAGGCCATTCGGGTTGGTTTGTGACACTTAAAAAATTGCAAAACTTGGGTGGCTGGATTTTTTTTTTTTATAGAGGATCTGATAGAGTAAGAGGTGTCAGTTTTGCCTTGATTGGATTTGTTGTAGAAAAATCAGGCAATAATGCTTTCAAATGAAATGGAACTGCGCTGTTGTTTGATTGAGATAAGACTAATTGTGGGCATAATTTTCATCAAATTAATGGGAAATAACTGCATAGGGAGGGAGAGATATCCATAACTGAATTACCTTTCCAAACAACAGTTTGTTCTAGCATCGGGTATGATAACTGGGAAAAGAATTGAGCAGTCTTTGTTCTTAAAAGACACCTAATAGCTTCATCATTTTTTCCCCTCTTTTCAGAGCCTGACTTCTCTTATCTGGATGCACTGGCTCCTTATCAGCCTCTGGCTATGAAATGTGTTTACTGCCCCATTGACACAAGACTGAATTTTATTCAGGTGTCCAAATTACTCAAAGAAGTCCAGGTAATGAAATCTCTATTGCTTTCTCTTCTGTTTCACCACACACACTGAATAGAGACTTTCACTGGGCATGACCTTTATATTAAAGCAAATGGCAAAGCCACACAGCACAAGGAATCTGGTTTCCTAAAGAGAGCTTAAGTATGCGTGTGTCTCCTCCTTTAACATCCTGCACTGAAACTAGTGCAAAATGGTGCCAGTCCCTGCAGCTAAAGTATGTTAGACATGTAGAGCTCAGTGTATGGAGTAAGTCCATAGGTTTAATATTGCACATTCCTATCAATCTCTTAAGAGCTTATACAGACAGTCATTTTCTCCTCTGGTTTTTTTCCTGTTTGTTTAAATATGGTTGGAGGTAGGTGATACATAGATAAGGCCTCAAGGTGCAAGGGGTTGATGCCCTCCGTATCAGTACTGTCACTTACTGCAGCCAATTCTTCCCACACCTAGCTCCTTAAGCCTCTAGCTTAGTCCAGTGTTTCCCAACCAGTGTGCCGCGGCACAGAAGTGTGCCGTAAGAAATGAGCAGGTTTGCTGCAGAGTTGTGCCATGGCGATGAGCTCCAATAGGTATGAGGATGGGGAATGCCTTAACGGGTGTCGTGGACAATTTTTATTAATGTTAGTGTGCTGTAGGCTGGAAAAGGTTGGGAAACACTGGCTTAGTCTGCCAGAGCACTCCTCCAGCATCATTTCCACTCTCTATCATAGGCTCCTCTTTGGCACCAGCCTTCCTTTATCCATCTCTATCCCAAGTGTTGCTGGCAAAATGTTCTTCCTGACTGATGCTTTCAGAGGGAACCGGTGGAAGATCCCAACAGGCCAGACTGGAACACCAGTCTCTCTTCTTTCCAAACAATGACTTGCCTACACTGTCTTCTCACCACATTGCAACCTGTCCCTTCCCTTCATGAATGGTGGCAGATTTCACTGCCGCCTCCTTCCACACATGCCTCCTCCCATGTTCCCCTTTGGATTCCTTGAGAACCCATGCCTCTGCGGTGACCCTGCAGTAAACAACCAATTCATAATAATTCGTTGATGTGTAGGTAACAAGCCACAAAGCCTCTAGATTATCCTTTTGGATAGCATATACAGCCCTGTGTTGTACTTTGATGCTTGTCTTTCCTTTCGCTGCTCCATTGTGTTCTACACCCATCAATGACCTTTTGTCTCTGTTTTGATGGAAAGCTTTGTGAAGCAGGGGCCACCTTTAATTTTTTTGTTCAAATGGCACCTAGGTTAATTAACTGTTAATGGTGAAGTGATGCCAAGGGCCCTCTTGTACTGGGCTTTGCAGAGATTCATAACAGAGACTGTCCCTTCCCTTAACAACCTACTCCAGTCCTGATGAAGGTCCTGTGAACGCTACTGTAATAAAAATAACCTGCATTATTGATGTATGCGGTACCAACCTTGTAATTGCAGTGTCAGTTCTTGCAGTCCATACGAGTACCAAGGCAAGGCATGCAAACAAGACACCTGTATTTTCACCACTATCTTCTCTTCCAGCCCCTCCACGTCGTTTGTCCAGAGCAGTACACCCAGCCACCACCCACGCAGTCCCATCGCACAGACTTGATGATAGACTGCCAGCCACCACCAATGTCATACCGCAGAGCAGAGGTGCTAACCCTCCCGTTCAAGCGGCGCTACGAAAAGATTGAAATCATGCCAGAAGTGAGTGACAGAAGGGAGATGATGTGCCTCTGTATCACCATATTTGTGCTGCCACCCAAGCTATACTTCATAGTTTCATAGTTTCTAGGGTCAGAAGGGACCTGAGCAGATCATCTAGTCCGACCCCCTGCCATGGCAGGAAGAGCACTGGGGTCAAACGACCCCAGCAAGGTGTTCATCTAACCTCCTCTTAAAGACCCCCAGGGTAGGAGCCAGCACCACTTCACTTGGAAGTTGGTTCCAGATCCTAGCCGCCCTGACCGTGACATAGCGCCTCCTGATGTCTAGTCTGAATCTACCCTCTGCCAGCTTGTGACCGTTACTTCTAGTCACTCCTGGTCGTGCTTGGGGGAACAGGGACTCCCCCAGTGCCTGCTGGTCCCCTCTGACTTGTG